CCCAATGTCTGCTGTACTTCTCGGAAAGTCGACAATTAATTGACCGTTCAAACCATAGAACGGCTCTAGAAGCTTGGCTCTGCGATTGCCGGTACTATTAATGGCTCGGGCAATGTTGTTTTTTGTCCCTAAGATTAGTAGTGCTGTCAGTTATTTTACTAATAATAATAATAAACAAAAAAAAAAACTTGAATACAAACTTACCGGCGGGAAGAATCATCCTCAAAGCGTTGAAGGCACTCCAGGATTCCCGCCTGGCCTTCCTGAAGATCCAACTGGCCTTGCTTGAGCTCCACCACGCTTTGCTGGAGCTCCACCACTCTCCGTCGGAGGTCTGCCAGTTCTTGCCGGAAGGCAGCCACTCCTCGCTGGAGTTGCTGCAGGGCTACCAATATTTGAGCCCGCTGATCGAAAGTAGGGAAGGTTGCAACATGCTTGGCTTGAGTGGCCGATACATGGAGACTTTTCATAGTGATTCTGAGATCGGGTAGTGGTCCAAGTGCTGGCTGTAGCTCAATATCCGACATTGAAGTGAGATGTTGGATTGTGAAGTTGGGTGACTGGTTGTGTCATGTTTGCGAAATTCTAAGGCAAACATCCTGCTGTCATAAGCTTCCAAGGGGGAAAAAAAAAAAAAAAAGAGAAAAAATGCCTTGAAGCGATTAGTCCACAGCTGTATGCAGACCCCCGGGAAAAGAATTGGTTCCGAACTGCCTCTCCGGCTCTCAACCCCTAGAATTCAGTCACCTACAAGAGCGAGACAAAGTAGTCATGTTTACCACCTTCCAATTACTCGAGATATTGATGCTGTGAAGTAATCCACAGTGAATTTTCGTTTATAGGGTAGGCGGCTCCGTGGATTTCACTTTCCAGTCCCTTTGAACTCTGTATCTCAACTGGCTAAAGAATTGTCAAGAGAGCTATGGTCGGTACATTTGTCTTGGAGCATTTTCTCATGGTTTTGTATGGGAAATGACCAGGCTTAACGCTTTTCTAAATTTCAACTTCACAATATTGGATGCCGATGTAGCGAATGGTTTTTTCTTTTTTTCCTTTTAATGATCTGTGGACTCTTGTGGAATTATTTGAAGGAATTTTTGGCTATACTATCAATTTTTCAAAATTTTTTTCTTTACAGCTTCAGAATCCGTTGAATGAAAGGGGTGAAGTAGCATGGTTTGGAATGTTACAGTTCGGTCCCAAAATTCATCGTCGCTGGCGTGGGAACGGCGCTCGCCCGCTCCCAACCCCACCACAACAACCACTCCCATACTACCAATAATTTTTCAATAAATAAAATAAGTTGTAGAATAAATAAAGCAGTTAAAATAAATACAAATGAGCTTTTTAATATTTAGTGTACCATCCTTTTGCCCTAATAACTGCCACAATCCTCCTTGGAATACTTTCAACCAGATTCTCAAATAAAGTATCAGGTATTAATTCCCAGCAATGAATAAGAGCTTCCTCTATGAGGGGCTTTACCTTGTCTGCTGACCTAGTATCAGCAGCTAAATGAGAGTAGTGTTCATGGTAAAGCTTCTTGAGGTGCACCCAAACATGCTCAATAGGATTGAGATCTGGTGAATATGGAGGCCAGTCCTCCAAAACTTCCACATTATTCTCTCCCAACCACTCCTTAGTGAGCCCTGCAGTATGTACTCTAGCATTGTCCTGCATGAAGAGTGGACTAATACCCCTTTCCTCCAATTCCTCCAAAAAATCAAGTAAAGAAAACTCCAATGTCCTAATATATGCTCTTGCATTCACTCTCCCCCCCTCCTCCACCCTCAAACCATTAGAGGTACCCTTTAATCCACCAGAAAAACAGGCCCATACCATCTGCTTAACTCCTCCTGACTTTCTAACCCTCTTTATACATTCTGGAAGCCATTTTTCCTTGGAAGTTCTGAAGACCCATTGAACAGCTGGATCTGCAGATTTCTCCACACTACATTCATCACTCCAAACCACCCTCCTCCACTGCGCAATTGTCCACTGCCTATGCTTGAGGCACCATTCATACCTCCTCCTAGCCAGAACAGGTGTTAACCTAGGTCTCTCAGCTTTAATATGCTTATGAATCCCATGGTCTGCTAATCTTCTCTTAATAGTGCTCACTGAGATATGAGGAGCAAAATCTCGGTGCAATTTGCACAGTGGCATTTCTTGGCATTGATGGGAGGCAATAACTAAATGCTGGGTATCCCGGTCACTAAGCTTTTGGACATGGCCTGTTCTTTTAGAAGCAAGAACTGACCTGGTTTCTTGATATCATCGGTAGGCAGAAATGAGTGTTGTACGAGGTATTTGGACTCGGCGTGAAATCTCGGCGAACTTTAACCCCGCCTCTTTCATTCCAATGGCTCTATAATGCGTAGATAATGGCCATTCTTTCCGTATTTTCTTCTTTCAGTAGCGACGGTTTTTCGGGGTGGTATGCGGGGGTGCCATGCTTGAGGTTGCCGTTGTCAAGGAGGCTCTGGTTCCAAAAGTGACGATCACTTTTGCACAAGAATTATACATGCGATTCTGCTTACCATTTTTGACGCCAGCCTCGTTCTTTCTATTCGAGTATTGTAAGCCAAGAGATGGTCTACCAACATTTCTTTTCGCGGGATAAAAAAATAGATCCAGCCATCACCCGGGTCCTTGGGATTGAGGATTAGAGCAGGTTATTAACAAATGTGCGAAATCCCTCTTTTTGAACTTATCATCAGTACTGTATGTAGAGTGTCCTTAACACCGGACTATGGGCAGTTTGGTAGCCATCCGCCAGGTCGCCGGCGGCAGCTATGCGCCAGGTCATGGTATGCTTGTGGCCTCTAGAGGAGGTAGTTTTTTGCTTAAGAGTATCAAAAAAAAAAAAAAAGGATCCCAAAATGCTCTAAAGAGGCACACAAAGTACCACTTTCGGACCCTCGTCGTAAAATACCACCGTTCTTGAGCTCAATTGAGTTATGGAAAGAAGATGTAAAATCATTGTGGACCGGTAGTATTGGGTATGATATGGATGTCGTAGTGTAAAACGGTTTACACAAGTGTCAAATATTATAAAACAACGAATGAATGAACAAACAATGAATGGATAAAACTGAATACTTCTCTAAGTACGGTAGACTGTAATACTGTAGAATGGAAATAGCATCAGAGTAAATAATAGTAAAATTTAGTTCTATGCGGGGACTTTAATAGGCGTAAGAGAGGGTATCAGAAGCAACTGCACCTCCCCCTTACAAAAAACAATCTGTAACCGGCACCAAGCGAACCTGCCACAGACCACAACCCGTCTATTTTCAGGAACCCATAACACATGACCCCAGCCCTGTCACCGCAATGCACTGTGCAGCGGATCTTGAACCCAGATCTGATCCGCCTTTCCCTTCAGTTATCATGGCAAAGGAAGTGCAAATGAGCCCCCATGTTACTTGTGACTTGCAGTTGCCGAAGTCCCTACATACTTTAAGCAAAAGTCGAACAGCGATTGGACAGACCCCCTCAGCACGAATCCGACTTTTGCGAAAGGGTACGATAGATAGATTTTGTAAGACATTCAGTACATTCACTCACTCGCGGGACTTTTCTTTTCCCTGGAACAATAGTCTCCGTAGGAAGTGGGGTGGCGTGTACGTCATTACCGTAGTTTGCGACGGGAGGGAAAGAAAGAAAGAAAGAAAGAAAAAGATTACCTACTGAGAAACAAAAAAAGGTTATGCCCGTTTCAAGACACCACTGAGAAACGAAAACCGGGGTTGATCCGCTTCAAGACACCTATAGGAATTGGAACGGACAGCGAAGGAAAAACACTTGCAGGGCAGTCGAGCTGAGGGGAAGAAGGTCACTTCTCCAACAAACAGGCTGAAAAAAGGGGAATCGTAAGGGTAAGGGAGAACAAACACTACTAGAAGGGGCAATCGCCGCACGCACGACTAGAGGTCAAATTTATTCGTCCGAAGTGAAAATATAATTCCGTCACTGGAATTGCTACCGAAGAAAAAAAAACACTAAAAGAAATTCGTAAAAGAGAAAATAAACCCGTGTTCCCGATCCCGATGTCCCGATGTTCGTCCGTTGTCCGTTCTTCTTTTCCTCGTCGTTGTTCCCCTTTTTTCTTGTTTTTTCTTCGTTCCCTCCTGATGCTTGCCTCGCCTAACTACTAATTCCCTTGCCAAGCCATCAACCGAGCTAACTAGCAAACAAAAACAAGGTAACTAGCAAACAAACATTTCCCCTCTTCCACTACATGTCCAAACCCTGACCCTCATAACAACTAGCCTATCTGATTAAAACAAAACACGATTTCTAGCTAAAACCTTGCAGACCATTTTCCTTCCCCACACTACTGAGAAAACAAAAATCGTCGAGTAGCGTTTCAAAGCGCCAATGGGAAGCGAAAGAAGCGACGAAGAGAATCACTCGCCGGGTAGACAAGTGGAAGGGACGGAGTTCAATTCTCCAATAAAAGGCCGTAGAAAAGGGGAACCGTAAAGAAAAAAGGGGAACAAACACTACTAGAAGGGGCAATCACCGCACGCACAACTAGAGATCGAATTTATTCGTCCGAAGGTAAAACTATAATTCCGTCACTGGAATTGCTATCGAAAGAAAACAAAAAGAAATTCGTAAAAGAGAAAATAAAATCGCGTTTCCCTATCTCGATGTCCGCTCTTCTCTGCTCCGTCCGTTGTTGTCCGCTTCTTCTCGTCCCTCGTTTTTTTCCTCGTCCGTTGTTGTCTTCTCTTAATGCTCGCCCCGCCTAACTACCAATTTCCTTGCCAAGACATCAACCCAAGCTAACTAGCAAACAAAAACCCCGGTAACTAGCCAACAAACCATCCCCCTTATCGACTAAATCTCCAAACCCTAACCCTCACGATAACTAGCTGATACGATGAAAATAAAATACAACTTCTAGCTAAACCACCGCAGACTATTTTTCTTCCCCACAGTACGGGAGGGATGGAGGAGGAGAAGAAGGAAAAGAAAAAAAACAATAGAGAAGTCCCACGCGGGGGTCGAACCCGCAACCTTAAGACTGAGAGTCTCACGCTCTATACCGATTGAGCGAGCGAGGCTTTTTGGGTTATTGCAGGTAAATTGACAGGTTATACAGTTATGGCAGCAACCGTATCGTACTGATTGTTCACAAAGGCTTGACCAGTGAAAGTTTAACAACGTCCACTGTGATACTAGAAATATAGCAAATGACAGTACAGTATATCATAGCTCAATGAACACACTGTACTCTGTGCTCAAGCTATCCTCCAAGAATTGAAGATTATAAAAGAAAGAGAAAGCGATGGGGGACAGATTTGGCTTTTGATGGTGGTTCAGGAGGGAACTGACTTTGGGGTTGTGATCGGGATGGTTCGGCTTGAGTTTAGCTGACTGTGGTTCTCCATGGTGCATCCATTTTCTTAATTGTCCAGAAGTGGTGGGGTGCTGGTATAGAGAGGGATTGTACTGTATTCTACACCTGCGTCCATTTTTACTGCTTAACGTGGCCAATCACTTGCCCTGACTTCCCTCTATATCCACAAAAGCAACCTACCGGTACCACACTTCCACCCAGCCCAACAAAAAGAGACTCCGAGACCAAGACTTTCGGAATAAAAAACAAGGTAAGTAGTGTGCAGTCCAGAAACGAGTGACAAGGAATGGGAGAAAGACCCATCATGTAGATTAAAGCACCAATAAGAAGTGGTGGAGACTGTAGCCGAAGATCTCCATCCATCTAAATATTTTCAGCCACGGAGACGGGGGGACGGGGTAGCTTTTTATACGGAAGATGAATGAAGGCCAAGTCATTATTTAACGTAACGCTCTGCAACGCAAAGTTAACTCATAACGTCTTCGCCTCCTTCGTATCCTCTTCCTTCTCCATATCTATACTGAACTGTGCTCAGCCAGCGTTATGAGTGAAGCGCTTCACGTGCTTGTCTCTTAGCAGCACTCCAACAACGCCTCCCCGTCCATTGTTGGATGCTCCCATGCTGTTCGGGATGAACATCTGCCAATTTGTTGTCATCCGTAACCTCCAATATTGCGCGTACTGTTGTTTCTATGCCCTTTCCTGCCTGCACAAGTCGGTAGTATGATCACCAAGTTGCTTGCAAGTCTGAGCTATCATGCTGAGGAGGGGCGGCCGCGCGCCGCGGTATGTGTCACAAAACATCTTCACCAACTGCCAAAAGCCCCACCTTTACTGAACAATCTCAAACTAAGGCCCAAACCGACAGACAGAGAGATAAGTGCTTCCAGAAAAATCAGATTATGCGAAAACAAAAATATGTTTATCCCAGAGGCCCTCTTGGGTATTCGTCTGAATTGAAGCACTTTCTACATAGACTAGTAGCTATCACTCGGGACGGATCTGAGAGTGGGTTACTGTAAAACAGTGCCGAGGAATATTGCTAACCTCCAATTCCCACCCCGGAGGTTCCTAAAGCTCACGCTTCAGGAATATTGGTGTTTAAAAACTGATGGAAAAGTGGCAAATTAAGTTGAACTAGATTTAATATACCATCCATAGTGACTACGAGCTCGATGGAGAATTAAAAAAAAAAACCCATCACATACGATAGAAAAATCATGGGACAGATAACTACAGTTTCTTTCCTGAACTCGGCTGGAGAAAAAGCCTCAACTCTGGGTGTTGCAGGAATTTCTTCCTCGTCTATCATACTAGTACCCAGACAGTATTTTATGTTACCGAAGCTAATTCTCAAATCCATCTTTGGGAGTGAGTAATACTTGATGAAGATAAACCGCTTCATGTGTTCGTTTGCTTCGAGGCTTTGTTGTGTAAAGATATGACCTGAAAGTATTTGTAACCTCTGCGAAGGTAAGGTTATCTTCTCTAATGAGCTCAATTCATCACCGCTTATGATGCAGCTTGGTAGTGAAGGTTGAAGATAAGTGAGGGAAGCTTACTTTGGTTCGATTCTCGGCGGTAATGGATTACCGGTATCTGCATCATGAAGCTGCAGATGGGTGGAATGACAGAGGGTCCGCACAACCCCTATTACCGGTATAGTACCGATATCGGATTTGACAGAATAATGTGCAGGTAGCGGTACTAGAGCAGAGATCGAAATTTGGTAACTTGGAGGATGATTACACAACCCTAATTGTGGGCTCTAAAACTGTACAAGTACTAGGAGATATGTCTCCATATAAGATAGGGATTATTGTGCAGTTAATAATCCGTGTCTTGTACGAAAACATATCCCCTGGTACTTGTACGGTAGTACAGTAGTCTTTAAGCTATCATACACTGGGAGGTTATGAAAAATCTGAAAATATACTGTAACCCGTATCTCCATAGAGATTTGGCTGGGATCAGCAGAAATACCGGTAGTTCCCCAATTTTTACTGCACCCTACAGGTATGGAATACGGTACTCTTACTCGGTCAACCGACTTGGGCCCTTGGGGGAAAGCAAATTCCACTTAGCTTCTCGATTATGGAAAATGCTGACTCATCATTTCAGCCGCAGCAATAAGGGTGGTGATGATAATTACCCCTACCGTACCAGGGAATTGCCCAAACCGGAGTTGATTTGTAAATTTACGACGAATTAATTTGATAGGATATCTGATGCAAGTGCATTATCCCACAGCCTTGCCTCAACAACGCCATTCTCCTCTAGAATACCATGAGCCTCCTCAACACCGATCTCTATCATCTTCCCTTATCCTCTTCCGAGTCTCTGTCGGCGTTACGTTAGACAGTATGGATCAGATATATTCGCAAGGCTCAGGCAGTACGAGGAATATCAAATCCTTTAACTACAAAAGTTGCAACAAAATCGTCAACAACATCGTGAACAATACGGTCGCCGATGACAAGCCCCAGGTCCTACAGTGGTTATCACCTCTCGAGCCCCAAAAAAGGCATCAACACTTATGCAATAATCGGTACGATGGCATGGGAGAATGGATATTCGAGAGAGATGAGTTTGTGAAATGGAGAACGGAGGAAGACGGATCTCATCCTGTGATATTCTGTGAGGGTGATCCGGGTGTTGGGAAAACCTACCTTAGGTAACACGAAAAAGTTACTAAACGAAAGCGACATCGCTAACTGTAGATAATATCAGCTCTCTGGTAATCGATCATTTACATGATAAAGCTGTCAGGGGCCGGCGGAATATCAAAGTGATTGGCCTGTATTGCGATTATCTCGACCGAAAGGAACAGACTACACCGAACTTGCTAGGCGCCTTGCTCAAGCAGTTGGTGGGGAAAGGCGACATCCCGGAGGACATACACCAGGCTTTCGAGGCTGCCAAGGAACATTTGGGCGGCGTGGGCCCGCGACTGTCGCAGCTTCGCCAAATGCTGAAGACAGCTATCGCATCGCGGGAACAGGTGTTTATATGCGTCGATGCCCTGGATGAAGCTACACCAGAGTATCGGCTTGATCTTCTTGATGCTCTACGAGAAATTTCTCGGGAGTCGCCAAGTGTCCGCATATTTCTCACCGGGAGGCCTTTTGTTCGCAGCGAGGTAGAAAAGTATTTCCCTGGTGTCCAGGTTATATCAGTCAGTCCTACGACAGATAATATCAAGAGATATTTGACAATGAAGTTGGACAAGGACACGGAGCCTGATGCAATGGATGACCGATTGAAAGAGGAGATATTGAGAATCATTCCCGAAACAATATCCGAGATGTATGTTGAGATTTCTCTATCCCCTATTCGAACATGGGCTATTTGCTAATAACTGTGTGTAGATTTCTACTAGTATCCCTAAGTATCGAGACTATCTTAGGAGAGACAACAATCTCAAAAAGAAGGAAAAAACTCCATGAAATGACAAAGCGGCAGAATGTTGGGGATGTATACACTGCGACACTGGAAAGAATCAAGGCACAGAAGGGGAGCAAGTCTCGGCTAGCCATGGATGCTCTGATGTGGATATCGCATTCAGAGCGGCCATTGAAACCGGAGGAGCTATGTGAGGCTCTAGGAGTAGAACTCGAGACAGATGATTTGGATATTGATAATGTTCCTTCGATACGAACAATAGTAGCATGCTCTCTTGGACTGGTAACCATCGATTCATCCTCATCAAGGGTTCGTCTTGTGCATTTTACCCTTCAGGAATATCTTCATGCCAACCCCACACTTTTCCGAAGCCCCCATTCGATGATGGCCGAGGTTTGCTTAACATACCTCAACTTTCAGTGCATCAGGGAGCTTTTACCAACTCTTTCCTCCGCCCCGCCGACAACCCCCTTCCTCGACTACGCATCATGTCATTGGGGAACACATGCCAGGAAGGAAACCACAGAAAGCATAATACTCCTTGCACTGAGGCTCCTCGATGAATTCGATGACCATATATCCTCTAACCTACTCGTGTTGCGCTCCGTATTTCAGGAGGGAGGTTATTCCGATGGATTTACCGGGCTCCACTGTGCATCCTACTTCGGAGTTGAGGAAATAATGGTTGCTTTGTTGCAGACCAAGGAATGGGATATCAGCGCAACTGACTGGGAAGGTAACACTGTGTTAAGTTTGGCTGCGAGACAAGGGCATGAGGGAGTTGTGAAGATGCTATTGGACCGGAGCGATGTTAATCCCGACATGGCAGATAATGATGGCGCAACACCTCTTTGGTGGGCTGCTTCAAGGGGGCATGAGAAGGTTGTGAATATGCTTCTGGACCTGAGCGATGTCAATCCCGACATGGCAGATAATGGTGGCCGAACACCTCTTTCGTGGGCTGCTGAGTTTGGAAGTGCGGGAGTTATAATGATTCTCTTGAACCGGAGCGATGTCAATCCCGACATGGCAGATAATTATGGCGCAACACCTCTTTCGTGGGCTGCTTTATGTGGGCATGAGAAGGTTGTGAAGATGTTTCTGGACCTGAGCGATGTCAATCCCGACATGGCAAATAATAATGGCCGAACACCACTTTCGTTGGCTTCTGGGTTTGGGCAGGAGGGAGTTGTAAAGATCCTCTTGAACCGGAGCGATGTTAACCCGGACATGAAAGATAATTCTGGCCGAACACCGCTCTGGTGGGCTGCTGAAAGAGGCTATGAGGCTGTCCGGCACATT